TTGAAAATAAAAAGGTTTAGTTCCTTGAAAAATTTAGCCCTGTATAATCAAGGTCTTGAAAAACATTTCACTTTTCATCATTCCCAAATACTTATATTTGTATATTATATAGAGAATATGCAGGAGTTTATACTGTAGCAAATTTCATTTTTCATTTCCATTCAAGCTTTACTGCTTTTGAATAGAAGAAAACAAAAATCTTTCCATCTTCTGGTCCATGAGAGTGTAAGCATCTAAGCAGCAAATGGTTCTATTTAATGTATATACACACAGATCCCTACTTTTATACTTGTTCCTTCAACTCAAATGGTAACCAATATTTTTAAAATTAAACACTCAATAAAAACTCCTTACCAAAACAGATTAGTTAGGTAAGACTGTTCAAGGTCATCAAAAAAATAAGAGAGAGAGACCCACAAACCAGTCCAATTAAAAGAAGTCTAAAAAGAAAAGACAACTAAACATAGCATAGAACTCAAATAGTATCCAGAACAGAAAAAGGTGAAGTCCAGCCTTTAGTTAACAATATAACTTATGGCTATAAACATACCTTTTTGTTATAGTAACAGCAGAAACTTGATACAAGAACAAACAGAAACTCTATCTTTGCAATATGTCTACAAATTAAAACTGTTCTTAACCAGGTGCAATGGCGCACACCTTTAATCCCAGCACTCAGGGAGGCAGAGGTAGGTGTATCTCTGTGAGTTGGAGGCCAGCCTGGTCTACAAAGCGGTTCCAGGACAGCCAAGGCTACATAGAGAAATCTTGTCTCAAAAAAACAAAAACAAACCACCAAACAAACAACAACAACAAAAAATTGTCCTTAAAAAAAATCTACTTGGGATTGAAAAAGGATCTTAGGGAAGATGGATTAATCATCTAGTAGGCATGATATTTCTTTTAATATAAAATTTAGGCAATCAAACAATATTATCAAAATTTGTAATCAGTCTAAGCACAGTAAACATCATTAACAACTCAGTTATACAAAATTAAGATATCTATTGTACATGAATCAGTTGCAGTTCAGCAATCTGCAAGAGAGCTAGCAAAAAAAAAAAAAAGAGGGTGATGGGGATACACACCCGTAATCCCAACACTCGGGAGGCAGAGGCAGTGTATCATTGTAGCTCAAGGCCAGCCTGGTCTATAGAGTAAGTTCCAGGACAGCTGAGGCTACAAGAGAAACCCTGTCTTGAAAAGCCAGAAACAGATATCTAGGTAGGTAGGTAGGTAGGTAGGTAGGTAGGTAGGTAGGTAGGTAGACAGACAGACAGACAGACAGAGACACTTAAATAGAATCCTTTTGGAGAGCAGATCTTTTCAGAGGCCATAGATAAATGCTATATGTATTCAGAACTGGTTCTCACTAAACTAAAAGGAAAAGAAGGCAAGAGAAGATAAGGGGAAAAGGCAGAAGAGAAGGGAGGGAGACAAGGAGGGAAGGCTAGCACACAAGTGCTGTAAAAACTAAAGACTTCAAACTAAGATAAACTGGGGACTAACACAAAGTTAACAATTATGTGACTGTGTCACCTATAAAAACAATAAGAAGCTAGGAAAGGTGGCACACACCTGCAATCCCAGTACGCAGGAGTCTGAGGCAGGAGGACTACCAAAAGTTCCAGGCTAGTCTGAGTTACAGAGTAAAACTCTGTCTCAAATAATCAAACAAAAATACTGAAAACCCACTAGGAAATAAGAGTAAATAACAATTTTTGAAAAGTAGAATATAATCATAAAATAATTTAGAACTTTTTACATTTTAAGAAAAAAATACAAAACAGTAATTATATACTGAGAAGAATAAAATATTGTAAAATAATACACCCAAAAGAAATATTGTTTAAGCTTTAAATGTTTTGAGGGAGATGGGACTGGGAAAATGGCTCAGTAGGAAAATGTTTGTCACTCACGTAGCCTGACTTAAATTCAGTCTCTAGAACCAACAAAATAAAAACATGGACATGGAGCTTCCCCTTGTAATCCCAGTGCTGAGGACACAGAGACAGGTGGATCCCTGGAGCTTGCCAGCCAGCCAACCTAACCCACTTAGAAAGTTATGGGCAGTGAAAGACCCTGCCTCAAAACCCAAGGCAAACAGCTCCTGAGGAATGTGACAGCGTGAGTGTGTCCTCTGGCCTCCAACATGCATGTGCCCCCAAAAATGATACAAAATGATAAACTCATTCGGAGCATGGTGGCTCATGCCTTTAATCCCAGCACTCAGTGAGGCAGAGGCAGGCATATCACTATGAGTTTGAAGCCAGCCTGGTCTACAAACCAAGTCCAGGACAGCCAAGGCTACACAGAGAAACCCTGTCTCCAAACAAACAAACAAACAAACAAACAAACAAAAAAGCTACAAGCAGCACAAGTATCCAAAGCAAAGGACAGCAGCAGCAGCTTGTCTGTAAGAAAATTTATTTGAGGTTCAAAAGTTTCAAAGAAAGGTACGGTTCAGTGTCCAAGTGGGTTACATAGTAATGGAAACAGGGACTGTCTCTGACATGAACTGTTTGGCCTGCTCTTTGATCACCTCCCCCTGAGTGAGCAGCCTTACCAGGACACAGAGAAAGACAATGCAGCCAGTCCTGATGAGACCTGATAGACTAGGGTCAGATGGAAGGGAGGAGGACCTCCACTATCAGTGGACTTGGGAAGGGGCATTCGTGGAGGAGGAGGGAGGAAGGGACAAGGAGGAAGCTACAGGGGGATACAAAGTGAAAAAAGTGTAATTAATTAAAATTTAAAAAAATAATTTTCATGACAAAAAAAAAAAA